ATTGTACACAATCAGATATACCTGATAACAGAGGGCAGAAGACTACACAAAAAATAATCTTGATTTATCGCATAGTAATAAATTATTAATATCAAAAATGTATTTCTGTTTTTTCTCTTTACATATTTTGTTAAAAGGGCAAATAAGGAATTCAATCCAAAAAAAAAGTAGTTTTCTGTTTTGTTTTATTCTTGGATCGGGCTTTAAAGGGTTAAATCACACCGGTCCTAACACTTCCTCTCTAGCCGAAGCTCCTACCTGTGACAGTAAATAACTCAAGGAGCTCAAGAAGTAATCCAACGTTAACTACCTAAATGATGCATGCAGTATATATAGCCCTTCCTTTGTAATGAACATCCTTGTGATGGTTCGCATATGGTGTCATTTTGTATTTCTTCAAACTGTAAAATCGTTGCATCAAAATAAATTATAATAAAACTAAAATGCTTTCTTTAAACCAAACTACGATGTTCCTCTTATATTTGGTGAATTTTTGTCCAAATATTTTGCAAAAATACGTTGCAGTGCATGATGGGGTTTTGAATCTAAAGGCTAATGTTTCCCATTTTACATTTATTGTTTCCAGGTTGGGATGTTTCCCAATCTGGCAGTTTAGGACGGCCGTCTATGGGTAAAAAATTATTTTCTTTAGATTTATGGCCTAAGACGGAGGTCTTCAACAGGGGGTCCGCAGAGGTACCGCATGGGGGTCACGAAAGTTTTTTGGTTGATTACACTTTTTATATATATATATATATATACCTCCTGCAATTTTTTTCCACTAATTGAAATGTCTTTAAATCCACATTAACATGAATTCAACAGACTGTAGTAAACAGATAAATGGAGGCAGAAGATGTCTTTCAGTCATCAATGCTCACATTCAGCGACACACAGGAGCTCTTTCAAGCTGGGCACCGTTTCATTCACAACACCTCTCCCATCAACCAGGAATCAGAAATACTTTAATAATCCCAGAGAGAAATTACTTTAGTTACATTAATCCATCTGTAATAGAGTGACTATAGGACTGGGGTGGAAAGTAATGAATTACATTTACTCACGTTACTGTAATTGAGTACTTTTTATGAGTAATTCGTAATTTTCTGAGTAGTTTTTGAAATATGTAATTTTTACTTTTACTCGAGTAAATTTTAACTTAAGTAGTTTTACTTTGCTACATTTAAAACCCCCTCACGTTGCTGAGTAAAGAAAAAATAATAATACTGATGGTGAAAAAATGAAATGTGGCCCTGCCTTGCATTTACCCTTTGTATTGTCTCATAATCCAGTGCTGCG